CCCTGAGACATTCATAAAAACTGAGTGCCTGTATTTCTGCTTCTTCCAGGTGTCATCATGCTGTTTTTCTCCCCATTTTCCCTCACTGCTTTTTATTGCCTGATGTGGTCGCTCTCCTACATCTTCTTTCTGGATGCACTGTGGGGCAGGGCAGCCAGCCTGAGGCTCTAGCATGGAGGAAACCACAGCTCTACCAACTCCCGCTGGCCTCCGTGGGCTCTGTGCCAACATGTGGGGCCCAGCCTTGCTTCACATCACTAAAGCTGTCCTTGTGCCTGAGTTGTCAGATGCCAGATACATGCGATCTGTGTTGTCTTGAGCCACAGCGAGCCACAGTCAGGCCAGCAGCCTTTGCTTCTTTCTCTTTATTCAGGGTTCATACTCCTTTGAGGCGATACTTGTACATGTCATTCAGTACAGAATTTTTTTCCAAGATGTTTTGGCTCTGTTTAGCTTCTGGCTCTGTCACTATGCATTAGAGTTCAGCCCTGGGAAAGAAGTGATGTTCTCCAGAGTTGGTGTAGCCACCACCTTGGCCTGGCTGGATGGCAGTTATCCCAGTGGCAGGGTGGCCTCAACTACAGGCTCTGGCTCAGAGAGCAGAGCTCAACATAGGACATTCACACTGCTTACCCTGCATGTGTCTAAGGCTTCGTAACTTAAAACTTCTGTATTTAATAGTTCAAACCTTCAGCTTTTTGCTTCCTTTAGAGATAACATGCATGGTAGCACAAGAGCACCATCTGGTTTAATCTCAAACACTAAACTCTGGTCAAATGCCACTTCATCTCTTCAAATCCAAATCAAATAGAAAAGAACAGTATCATTAGGTAAAGCTGAGTCTTCCAGAGGACTGGGTCCATTGAAAACAGTGAGTCCCCAGCGTCACCAGTGAACTGGCCCCCTCCAGATGGGTTGCCAGAGGAGTGCTAACCTGTTCCTTCCCACAGGTGGCACCAGAGCACCTTTAACCACACATCCAGCTGTCTAAAGTTTTGACTCTCAGGTTTTCACAACCATGTGGTAAAATATACGTCAAATCTACAACTAGATTTATAAAAATACCAATCCAGGCTGGGCGTGGTGGCGTACTCCTGTAATCCCAGCACTCGGGAGGCTGAGGCAGGAGGATCACTGTGAGTTCGAGACCAGCCTGGGCTACATAGTGAGTTCCAGGTCAGTCTCAACTACATAGTGAGACTCTGTCTCAACCCCCCCCCCAAAAAAAAAACCAATCCAAAGAAAGCCACAACACCATGATTTGACTCTAAAGGAGCAGACAATGTCCTCTTCCCCACTTCTCTTGTCTCTGGTAATCATTTCTGTTATCATGGTTAGTTGAATATGCCTGTGCCCCACTACATCTTAGTCTCCTCCAGTAAATATATATACATATATATATATATATTTTTTTTTTTCTTTCCTGCTACCTGGCACAGTGCTTGGCACTCAAAAACGTTACTTTGTAAATTGACTTAGTTATGGATTCTGGTAAGTTTTATATATAAGGTTACTGTACAAGAGTAAGAAGTATACAAATATACCTAGGCTTTGATATCCCTTGGTACAGCATGTTCGTGCCATTGTGAGGTTTCACTATGATGGTTAATAGTGTTATTTGATTGTTTGGAGGGATTCTGGGTGTGGCATGGGGGCATGACCTTGAGGAGAGTATCTGGTTCCTGACCCCTTCCTTCCTCACTCTCTGATCTTCACCTGCTCTCTCCTTTCTGGCTGCCATGGAAAGTAGAGTAGCTTTCCTCCACTGCACCCTTCTGCCATGACATTTCTGGCTGTGGACTGAAACCTCTGAAACTATGAGCCAAAGTCAACATTTCTTCCACTAAGTTGCATATATCAGGAATTTTGTCCTAGCAGCAGAAAGCTGGCTAATACATACATGGAGTGAATATATTTTAGCAACTCCAGTTTGAGAACTGTCTTCCCATAAACTCTAGGGGTCAGCAGCTACCACAATGTCTAGATAGTATAGGTGCTAAAAAGCCCAAATCAAAGCAAACTTGTGTTCTTCTCAACCAACCAAATTTAGGACACTTAGTTCATGTATCCTCATTTTGAACACATGACTGAAAAAGCTAATATTTGGGATTAATCAATGATGCCTTGTCTTGAATCATTCTAGTTATGAGGTTTGACTTCAAATAACTTTTGGCTGTTCCTATGTTAAAAAAAAAGATGCAATTTTGAAAGAGAATTTCCATGTCCATTTTAAGAGATAGCAGCAGAGTTAGAGAAAACATACAAGTCCCCAAGAAGACTGTTTTGAAAAGCAAAATACTAATTTGGATCTGTATGTTGTGGTTTGTTTTGAATAGTTACTATTTTTATACTTTATTACTTTGATTTCTTTGTAGGTTAGTGACATGAGGACAGTTCTAGGTCAGCTGAGAGCTGACTACACTCCTCAGCTGGCTGGGGTCTCAATGCTAACCCACCACATCAGAGCTTCTATTTCCTAGACAGCAATTTTTAAATACAGAAAGGTTCTTCTTGGGCTTCCTCTTAGGAACAAGTGAGAAGGCCAAGACTTTAACACTGCACTTCTCAGTTAAATAAATGAAGCGAGAGAGGTCCATGTAGCTCTGTTAGTTTTAAACCCAGTATACAGTGCAGACTTCCCCAAGGTGGACTCTTCCCAACCAGAAGCATAGCTTTTTTTACTCTGCTGAGACAACTCAAGTGACTGAGAACTCTGCTACTTTTGTAGCTCTGTGACCTTGAATAAACATTTTTTCTCTAAGCCTATTTCCTTATCTGTAAAAATGGAAGATTTACTTCCACTCAGAGTTGTTTTACAAACAAAATACAATGACACATAACACACCTAGTGAATGCCTTGTAAAAAATGTTAAATGTTCCTTGTCATTTTTCTACCAGTCCACCTTTTCATATATATTTCCATTTAAAATAATGATAATACTTAATACTATGTACAATAAATGTATAGACATTTACAGTATTATACTATATAGCTTGCTATTTGCCAGGAACCTTGCATTTTACTATTTAACTTAATCTGAGTTAGGTGACCATAGGCTTATTAAGGTGAGCAGTTATCAAAGTATGGTCTGCACACTCCTATGATTCCTGAGTCCTTTTGGGCATCAAAAGTCTTTTCTCAATACCTAAAACAGGGACTATTATATCACTTGTTGACATTTTGCCAATGAAACAGCAATCAACAAGAAGATCAGAAGTCCCAGGCGGCCCAGGAAACATAGTGAGACCCTGATTAAAAAAAAAGTGCTGGTGATCTAGAGCATTTGCCTAGCATATATAAGGCTGCATTCAATCACCAGCACTGCAAAAAACATACAAACAAAAGGCAGTTTCACTTAAGAATATCCTTGGAGGAACAGGAAAATTACTAATTTTATTAAATCTTGCACATCTTTTTAGTATTTTCTGTGCATGAAGTGGAGTACCCTTGAGTACTTCTGCTGCATGCTCTAGTTATGATGTCATTTCTAGGAAAAGCCCTGGTTTGAGTTTGAACTGAAATAGCTCTTTGCTCATGAAATGCTATAGGACAACTGACAAATGAGAATGGTTCAGACTAGGTTCGCTTGACATATAAAGAGTGTGAGACCCTCATTTCAAGAAAGAGTATTTGTTGCCAAGGGTAAATTTGAGCTTCCATGTGAAAATTGGAGTTTTGGAAAGCTTCTATCCACCACCATGAGCTTTACTCCTTTCCAAAGACTTCAGAGATCAGTGGGATATTAAGGGATATGTTGTTTTTTCTTTCTTTCTTTTTTTTTTTTTTTTTTTTGAGACAGGGTCTCACTATGTAATTCATGCTGATTTTGAACTCTATGTGGCCCAGGCTGGCCTCGAACTCACAGTAATACTCCTGCAACAGCCTCCCAAGTGCTGGGATTATAGGCCTGCGTCACCATGCCCAGCAAGGGATATGTATTTTTGATGTGTAATGCAAAGTGTCAACATTTGGAAGATTTGCATAACTCAGTGATCCAGTATTTTCTAAATGAACAATGCTTGATGTTACAAAATCATGCATGAATGAAAGAACCATTCAGAGGCCAAGATTCAAAGACCAAAGGATTTTAATGTATCAGGATACAAAAAGTTCACTGATAATGATATCAGAGTTCATGTTGCAACTAATCTTTAAGAAACTGCCACTTGCTGAGTTTGTTTGTAGTATGAAAGAAAATCTACAATGACCTCAAAAAGCTATTAGAATACCTCTGTCTTTTCTAACTGTATCAGCATGAAGCTTGATTTTCTTCACATTTTTCAACCAAAACAATATGAAACTTCAGAATATAGAAGCAGGAGAATTAGTTGTTTCAATCTCCAGAATTAAATGGGATATTAAAGAGATTTGCAAAAGTATAAAACAATGTCATTCTCACTTTTTACTTATGTTAAGCTGTATTAGATTTGTATTGTTTTAAATGGATTAATAAAGATTTTGAATTTTTTTTTTTTTAGTTTCTACAGTGGCAAATATGATATAACCAACATAAACAAAAGGTCTTTGGAGTCCACAATTTTTGATGTGTAAAAAGTTCTGAGACCAAAAAAAATGAGAATTACTTAAGGAGATTACAAATTGCCCACACAATTAAGTGGTGAACCAAGGAGTCAGACCTAGGCAGCCTGACTTTCAAAGTCAGTGCTCTAAATTGTTTTTGGTGCATAGCTTAAAAAATATTTTCTCTTGAGCCAGGGATTTAGCTTAGTGGTGCTGCCACCTGTCTCACAAGCATAAGGTCCTGAGTTTGATCCCCGGTACCAAAAAAAATTTACATGCACGCATGCGCGTGCACACACACACACACACACACACACACACACACACATCTTACCCTGGACAAACAGACTACACCACATGAGCAGTAGGAAAATCCAGACAGGTAGGCAAATGTGTTCCTCGTTTGCACTGACTATGCCTGTAAGTGTTCCAACTATGGATGGAAAGGCTTTCTGAAGCCCTAACCCTGTTATTCCTTAGAGGCAAATCTTCTTTTCTCTAAAATGTGAGTAAACTGATGACTCATTCTTTTCTTGGTTCAGGAACTTAATATCACAAATTTTTTTTCCTGCAGTTTATTTATTTATTTTTCCCTGCAGTTTTGAGGATTGAACCCAGGGATGTCATACTGAACTGCATCTCAGCTGGGCATGGTGGCTCATGCCTGTAATGACAGCACTCGGGAGGCTGAGGCAGGAGGATCACTGTGAGTCAAGACCACCCTGAGCTACATAGTGAGTTCCAAGTCAGTCTCAACTACATAGTGAGACCTTGTCTCAAAAAACCAAAAAACAAACAAAAAACCAAAAAAACAACATACTGACCAGCTTCTCCAGTCTTTCCCCAAGCCCCCTTTTAAAATTCTGAGACAGAAGCTCACCAAGTCACTAAGTTGACTAGGCTGGGCTGGAATTTGGGACCCTCATGACTCAGCCTCCCAGAGTGCTAAGATTACAGGCTTGTGTCAACATGCCCAGCTTCAAACTTGTTTTTTTTAAAGCCGTAGCCTACAGCAAGAAGTAATTTTATATCCAACATAGTACACATTTTATGTCTGTATAAACATGGAACAAAAATTGCACGAAACATACCATATATGATTTTTTTGGGGGGGTGGTAGGTGCTAAGCACGTACTCTACCACTGAGCTACACCCTCAGCCTCCACATATGGTATTTTCTATTCTATTATTTCATTAGACAGAAAAGTTAACATTTACTAAACTGATTTTTCAACCACCTGCAGTTTGAAAAACCGTCCTACTGTCTTCCTTCGGGAAAACAATATATGCAAGTCTGAGACATGTTAATACAAGCCGTTCCCAGCAAAGGGTCAAGGGGCTTGGGTACTATTTGGTTATTTGAAACTTGAAGCATTTCCCATGAAGTGATATGAAAACTTGTTGAGAAGGGAAATAACACTATTATATACTACACTATTTATTTCTCGACAATGATCTTAAGGAATAATATTCCATTACAAAGATGGAAGAAAGTGAGACTTGGAGAGGTTAATAGGTACTTAACCCAGGTCATTTAGCTCTAAAGCTGAGTTCTTTCTAGAATATTACCAGTATTTCCTTATGTTTATAGAGATAGCTTCTACTAACCCCCCACTCCCCAACAAAACAAGAAAATTCAACCCAAATTTAGCAGGACACTATACAACCTAATTATCATTTATAGGGATAATTTATATAGAGATTATCTTTAATTATAACTTGGGCCTTCAAAAACATCTCTTCACAGTGGTGGCAAGTTACTAATAACACCCCATTCTGTCCAGTTTACTCCAAAAGTAAGCTACAGGGGTGGGAACAGTATTCTCACTAAGTTCAGAGGCAGATGGGAACAGCTTGTGATGTCCCCAGCATGGTGCAGGGAGAAATACAGCATTTCCAACTTGGAGTACAAGGTGGTAGTATTTGGCTTTTTGGTTTTTCTGAGCGTTATGCCTCATTTCCATCTGTATTCATCTTTTCTGAAATCCATTTTCCTCATTCCCCAAGAAAATATCCTAGAAGAATAATCTTTCCTTTGGCTCAGCATTAAAATAACTTCTGCTGCTGACATGTTGGTTAAAAACTGCCACTTTTGACACAAATATCTGAGGCAGAAACAACTTTCCATTTCTAATCCTACAAATGGCAGTTGGATGGGTGGCTATTCCCATCACAAACCCCTCTCTGGGTCTGATAGAGTAGCCCCCCTAAATGAAAAACAAAAAGCGCCTGGTGAATCCTACTACCAGTGCTTCTTGATGGCAGGTGAGGAGAATCCTAGCTTCCAGCCTTTACTCTACCTGGCACCTCAAATGCAGTAAAGGGTCACATATAGTATGTGATGAAAAGCTTACAATCATTAGGGTCTACAGAGCATCAGCCAGGGAAGAATGAACACCGGCAGTGGTCATAATCCTCTTCTCCTCTACCTCACTCCTGAAGGAGGAAGGGTGCCTGCTGCTCAGTGTTTCAAGTATCTAACATTTAATGGGTGCCAACTATGTAGCATCCTTATTGGTACAAACTGGTATAAATCTTGGCTTTCTCATGGGGTTTGCATGCTAGTGGGTAGAGACAGACAAGAAATGAAACAAACGAGTAAATATAGTGTTTTAGAAGACAACGGATTAGGATAAAAAACAACGAAGGGGATATGGACGGCAGCAATGAAGCTTGGTATAGGTTACACCAATATACTGTGGTCCCTTCGTTGAGAAGCCAATATTTGCTCAAAGATGAAGACAAGGAGATAAAAAGAATTAAGACACGTGTGATATACATGTCACCATGGTGAATGTAATCACTGTGGACTGCAAAATGCACTGATAAAAACTAAAAAAAAAAAAAAAGGTGAAAGTGAGAAGACTCTGTTAGCTGTATGTAGTGAGCAGACCAGGCAGAAAGACCAACTTGATCAAAGACCCTGAGGAAGGAGGTATTTTGTTTTTGAGAGAGAGCAAGGGAAGCCAGTGTAGCTGGAGCAGAGGGCAGGAAAAGAGTGCAGAGGTCATCAGAGGGGAGAAGAGGCTCCCATCATGAAGGCCTTGACCTTATGGGCTGAGGAAGCGATGTCACTCTTACTCTCACAGAGGGAATCAATATAGGTTTCTAGTAGAGGAAAACAGGGTCACCAGTGCTGAGGCTCAGAACAGACTAGGGGAACAAGAGTGGGAGCCAGGAAGCCAGTAAAGGGAGGTGACTCAGATAGGGGGAGATCATGGTATCTTGGCCCAGAGTTATAGAAGTACCAGTGGCAGTGATGGTGTATGGAATTTATATATAAAATAATAAGGTTTTCAGATAGACAAAATAATGTATGTGAGAATGAGTCAAGAATGACTTAAAGAGGGGCTGGGGATTTAGCTCAGGGGTTCCGCCACCTGCTTTTCAAGCACAAGGATCAGAGTTCGATCCCGCAACCAAAAAAAAAAGAGAATGACCCAAACAAGTAGAAATACTGAGTTGTTACAAATTGAAATAGGGCCCAGTGAGGCAAAAGCACGTTTACTGGAGAGTGGTCAAGGGTTTAATTCTAGATACCCACTTAAGTGTTTCCTATTTCTTACATTCTTTACTTCACTTTCAATGGCTTGACACTCCCATGCTAAAGGATGAGCAAATGAGCATTTTATTAATATTTTATTTGCATTTTTGAAGAAGATACACAGTTTCACAAGAAACACTGATTTTTCTCAAATAATAGAAAAAATTTTAAAAAAAGGTCTATTATCTTAGTAGAGGAAAAGAAGTCTCATCAGTAAGCACTGGTCCAATTCAGCGTGGAAGACCATGAAGCTACGTATCTCGAGCTCAGGTTTACCCACAAATGTCTTAGCTAGTTCCGTAAGGCTTCAAACAGGTCCCCTGAGCTTAACACTGGTAACAAGCTCATAAACAAGGCCTGCACAGTCCCAGGGGGTTGAACACATGGCTGGATCACTCTCCCGGAGTCTGCATCTGTTTACAGAACTCATCAAACTGCTGCTGCTCCAGTTCTGTCATGACTCTGTTGAGGGCATAGATCTGAATAGAGAGATAGACATGTTAGGAATGAACGTAGCTGCTCAACAGGTCTTCAGAGTAATAGGTCAAGTCCTCTGGAAATGCCGGAACTGCACCAGTGATGGGAGTATACAGAGAGTGATTTGGGAACAGGGAGGTATATATTCATTCCACCTGCAGAATCAATAAAGAAATAGTGAGGCAGGCATGCTGGTCTTTAGGGGATAGTAGGATTTAAAGAGCTAGAAATTGATGGGACCTGAGAGGCAACTGGGGGGGATGGATTATGCAATAAACAAGTACGGAAGTATAGCAGTAGTTCAGGAAACTTCAAATATGCTAATATGGAGGATACAGAGTGGGGCGGGGAGCTTCGGGAAGCAAGACAATTATCCTGGGGCCTTTGATGCCATGCCAAGAAACTGGGGTCTTTATCAGACTCTGGAGAGCCAGCAAAGATAAGTGTGCAGGGGAGCAATCTGATTCTATTTGTGCCTTAGAAAAGATAATGAGGCCATGTGGAGGAGGGAGTTTGTGTGTGTGCATTTGTGGAGGGATTATCAATCATGAAGGAGGCAGAGACTATGGCCTGAGGCAGGCCACAGTGGTGGACAGAAAACAGCAAGAGACATTCCAAGATGAAAGATTGGGGTATCTACACCTTCTTTAACTTCCTTCACCCTCACAGTAAATAAACTATCCAATAAGCAAAGGAACAGATCTTAAACTACAGTTTGTAGAAGAAATAAAACAAAGGTATGTGTGCATGTGTGTAGAAAATATAATTTGATTGATTAAAAAGAGATATGAGAAAAAATGAAACAGAAGTGAGACAAATGGAAAATACAAAATATGAGCGGAAAGTAATAGGGTAACAATCACACATATAGTAGAAAAGATCAACAAAATTGCAAAATGGTTCTTTGAATTTTTTTTTTCTCTGCAGGGCTGTGGATCAAATTCAGAGCCTCATGGACACCAGACATGTGCTCTACCTCTGAGCTACAGCCCCAGCCCTCTGAAAATACTAAAAACTCCTGCAACGCTGATGTGATGGGGCTGGCACACTGTAAAAAGAGCTCAAAAAGTACCAGCTGCTATTAGACTGAACCCCCAGCACCACAGCTCAGAAAATGAACAGGATGATGATCAGCTGTTTAATTTACAGTCCTTACGATGAAAGTAAACCAATTGCTCAGAAGCATGATGATTCCTGACCACAATCAATGGTTATGGAGTGCCTTCTCTGTGCCAGGCACTGTGCTAAGCTACCATTTCTATTCATTTTAACAGTCTTGTGAAGCAGATACATCCTCATTTCACCAAGGAGGAACTGAGGTTCAGAGGTTAAGTGTTTTGTTCACAGTCATATGAAAAGAACTGGGATTTGAAATCAAACAAGTAATTTTAAATTGTGAAACTGAAGGGTATCAGTAGGTACATGAACAATGTCCTCAACATCTATCAGGGCTGTTTAGAGGGCTGTTTTGTCAAACTGTTCACCAAAGCACAATTAATAAAATCATCCAGGGGCCTGGATCCAGGTAAAGCAAGGGGCAGCACCATTTGTTAGACCCAGGACCACAGCTTTCAGACGTTTCTGCCTTAACCTAAAGATGTATTTGAGTTGTACAGCTTAACTTCAAGTATATTAAATTTATTGGGATTAAGCTCCATGAAGGCAGGGTTCTCTGCTTTGTCCAGTAACGAGTCTCATGCTCCTAAAACAGTGCCTGACGTAGCAGAAGCTCAACATTTGTTAATGAATGGATCAGATCAAGTATTAGACCAGAAATGTGAAGTGAGACATCTCTTCTACTGCCAGTGGGATGCAAGCTTGTACAATCCCTCTGAAAGCAATTTGGAAATGTGTGCCCAACAATTCTTCTAGTTAAAGCCCTAAGAAATTCTCAAAGGAAACATCTAAAAGTTTTTCATTATATCAGTGTTTGTAAAAGAAAACATACTTAGAATGTCCATCACTGGAAGGATGGGGAAATACACTAAATAAGGTGGGTTCGTAATATAAGACTACTGGGAAGACTGATGAAAATAAACCAGATACTTGGAGTAACATGAATAGCTCTACAAAAATAATATAAACAAAATGCAAAAACGTATGGGATTTAAGGGCTGGACATGTAGCTCAGCGGCACTGCATCTGCCTGGCAAGTGCAAGGTCCTGAGTTCAATCCCTGGTACTGAAAAAAAAAAGTATGGGATTTTATTAATGTAAAAATTTAAAACACAAAAGGAATATTGTATATTTTTAAAGGATATGTACTAATATATTTATATGAAAAATACTGCTTACCCATGGGGAGGGGAAAAAGCTTTAAGACCAGAAGCAGACAAAAGGGACTTCAAATTTATAGCTGATTTTTGCCTTATTTTAAAAAGACTCCAAAGCTAGTGTGGTGGTATATACCTGTAATCCTAGTACTTGTATCACTACAAGTTCAAGGCCAGCCTGAGATACATATTGAGACCCTGTCCTAAAAAACAAAAAAAACAAAACAAAACAAAAAACAGAAAGACTCAAATTGCTAACTACTCCTAATCTTGGGTGCTGACCACCAAGTATTTGTTATAATAGTTTAATTTTCTGCACTTCTAAATTTTTCAAAAATTGGCAGGGATTTAGGTCAGTAGTGCCATTGCCAGCCTCACAACTAACAACAGAAAAGGTTAAATTTTCAAAAATAAAGAAATATTGAGATAAAACACACCTCCATGTGATCAACATTTGCAATGTGAACAGTTTAAAGCGTTTTATTCTCACGGTGATTGTTAAGTGGTGGGAGAACAAAGAAACATATAGGTGGGTTTAAGGCTTGGGCTATTAGCTTTGTTTTTTCTTCTGGTACCAGGGATCGAATTCAGGATCTTGCACTTGCTAGGCAGGTGCAGTACCACTGAGCTAAATCCCTGGCCCCCAGGCCATTTGTTTTTGCAACAATCCAGCACAGGTGACCCTGACTCCCTCCCTCTCTCTGACCGCTCCCTTACACATCTCTTCTTTTTTCCTTACCTTCTTCCCTCAGGTCCCTAACCATAAAAGCTCTGTGCCAGGGTCTTCTGGAGACCAGGAAGTGGTTGGGGTTTTGATGCTAACTTGTCATGTGACTCTGAGATGCCCTGCCTCCATTCTGGACCTTGATGATCCCTCTAAAACTAAGAGAACTTCTGTCTTGCCTGGAGGCAGGCAGGGCTCTCCATCACAGCCCTCTTTTCTACTGTTTCTCTATTCCAGCACCTTCTCTAGGAGACTACAGGAAACTTCCACCACTACGCACACACACACACACACACACACACACGCATTCACTTACTCTCTCACCTCTGCTCTCTGTCTTTGTTTCAGCTCTTGCTGGGCTGATTTCTGCTTAGCCTTCTCCACCCTGCTGACAGGTTCTTTAACTTTGGATTTTTCTTTACGCGAAGGTGGATCCATGACTTGGCTTCTAAATATGTGCTTAGCTCTGACCTGGATGGTACAGAAAGACACACCTTTTAAAAAGACGGGGTGGGGGGAAGGAATGAGAGAGAACGAAGGAGCTGCTAGTCATTCATTCTCCTTACTAATGCTTTCGCTGAACCCCTTCCTTTGACAGGTGAGGAAGAGTGGCCTGGTAGCAGGTGTAAAACCTTAACTCCACAGTCACGATCTCACTGCGAGCCCCGGTGCAAGGCTCCTCCCCACTCTACGCCGTAACTTCTGTCTGCAGAATGGGACCACGCCTTTCCGCGGCCTCTCAGCGCGACTCGCCGCGAGAGTCAGCTGCCGAGGGCCCAGGGAGAGGGTTCGTCCACTGCCCGGGCAGTGCCCGGCATGGGGCGACTGGGATTGAACAGGCCCAGAGCGAGGCCAGCCCCGCAGCTGGGCTCC